CCCCTTTATTGTTACCATGTTCAGAATGCATGAGGTGGACGACACCGTGGGAAGGTACAAGGATTAGACTGACATCTCAGAAACTACCCGGTGAAATCCCATCGGAGCGACTCGACTCCAATAGTGTGGAAGATTTCTCTGGCATTCGCTTATGCAGGTGCTGTTGCTGGGTTACTATTATTTTTTCTGTTCCTTTTAGTTTCAGAAACAGCACACGCAATACAGATAGGAAATATCCATAATATAAGTGTCGAAGACCAGAAGTATTGACAGAGAATAACAAAACAAGAGAAGGACAAATATGAATAATAGATGTTTGATAGGAAAGAAGGAGCAGATCACACAATAGTATCAGCCAGTCACCCACTGTTTGTTTCTAACATGACACAGGTGTTGTGTGCACCCATCGAAACAATCTAGATCATTTAAGAAGCAGGAGATGACATTGTGAACAAATACATAAACATATTAGGTGTCTTACACCCCCATCGACACAAATGGGCGTATTTAGGAGGCGGGTTGCTTCGAGTCTGCTTTTTATGAGCTGGCCCGGGCTGAGTGGGATACAGTATCAAGCAGACAAAGGGAGAAACAAGGTTAAAAAAGACAACAACATCCCAACACGAGAATCAAACTCGCATCTCCTGTCTGAAAAGGCGAAAGACGTACTCGTTTCACCAGCAACATTTGTGTTTTTTTAACACTGGAGAAATGTAAAGAAAAAACTAGGGTTCACACTATAGATGAAGGCACAGACAAAAGGAGAATTCGAACCGTGTACTACCAAGAGGTGCTTTAGACGGCTCTCTTGCATCACAAACCCTGACAACGTCACTTATGAGGAAGTGCGCAGTAGAGTGAAACAACACACGAGTCACTATTTAGACTTGCTGTCTACTGTGAAACGAAGAAAACTGAAATGGTGTGGCCATGTAGCAAGATCGTGTTGCATTGACCATCCTTCAAGGAACTGTACAAGGGGAAGAGAAGGAGAAGAAGGCAAAGGAAGAGGTGAACCGACAACATTGCGGAGTGGATACGGAAATCCTTCGTCCAAACTCAGGCGCTCGCAAAAAATCGTGTAAAGTGGAGACATCTGACGAGGCTCTCACTCTCTGTCACACGGGGCCCCTACGATCCTCTTGGATTATTGGATCAGTGACAGTGACAGTGACTACCAAGAGATAGTCAAGTCTGTATCCATCTGAGCAAGTGAGGTCAGTTTTCTAATACATATCCCGATCAGTTTTATATCACTCCCAAGGCAATCCGGATACCTCATCAAGACATGTATGGGGTCATGAATTAATAATAGGGGAATCGTTTGTTCTCCATAAATCTAGCCACGCACAATTAAGATGGACGTTATTATGTTCGTGTATTAAAACAACTGACGTGTTTTAAGAGGTTTCTGAGCTTCCCGGCTAAAAAGGGGTCTCCTAGGTCGTGCACTCTCATAGCCACTGTTCTTCTTATGTCCTGTGATTTTTACAGGAGATATACGAGGGAGAGAGGGATAGAGAGAGGGAGGGATGGACAGAGAAGAGAGAGAGAGAGAGAGATAGGGGGGGGGTGGTAAAAGGGATCAAAATAGATAGATAGATAGATAGATAGATAGATAGATAGATAGATAGATAGATAGATAGATAGATAGATAGATAGATAGATAGATAGGCACACAGATAGATGGATAGACGGACGTACATGTACGCATAAATACATATAATGAGTGAGTGAATGAGTGAGTGAGTGAGTGAGTGAGTGAGTGAGTGTGTGTGTGAGTGAGTGAGTGAGTGAGTGAGTGGGTGAGTGAGTGAGTGAGTGAGTGAGTGAGTGAGTGAGTGAGTGAGTGAGTGAAATAATGCAGGTGTTTTATGCCCAGATCGACACAATTTAGATCATTAGGACGTGGACTTCAACACTGCCTGTCAAGGCCAGCCTGGTCTCAGAGGGACACAGCGTCCCAGCAGAAAGACAGTGTAACCGATAAAAAAAATTCATCCTGCTCTGGAATCGAATTCAGGTCTCGTAGGTGCAACGGAGAAGCACCTAATTGCTACACCAAAGGCGCCGGTCTGAGTTTGTGAGTGAGTGAGTGACTGAAAGTGTGTGAGTGTGTGTGGGGGTGTGAGGGTGTGTGTTTGGGTGTGCGTGTGGGGGGGGGGGGGAGGGAAATGTGTGTGCGTTTGTAAGTTAGAGAGAGAGAGAAAGAGAAGGAAAGAGATAGACAGACTAAAAATATAGAGACACAATGAGAGAAATTGCATACGAGCAGCAAGAACAAGGACAACTGTCAATACAGTTACGTTACAATCGACTGAAATGTCATAACAATCTATTCCAGTCTGCATGGAGTTTGATGAGGATGTCGGCAAACAGAACAAACCGAACCCATATATCTCCACCTCCAAAAAACATCATACACCCCACCTCCCAAAAACCCCAACGCAACACTCATACACACACACACACACACGCACACACACACACACACACACACACACACACACACACACACACACACATGT